TGGGGAGCCACAGCCCGGCCTCCCCCCGGGGGCTGGCGGTGCAGAGGGACGTGCCGGTGGGTCGGCGCGACGCCACGAGCGGCCGCAGCCCCGCGGCGAAGCTTTGGGGACGGTCGTTCGGGAGCCACCGCAGCAGCTACTGAAACCCGGCGAGGCTCCTGGGGGGGTTGTGCGCTGCAGCCAAGATTTGGGAGCCCCTGCTCCCCCGAGCTGCCGTTGGGGTTAAGGCCCTGCAGATTTGGTCTGGGTTTGACCGCTCTCCAGCGACACAGAGGCTCCCAGCTGCTCCGGAAGGTTTTAATCCTGGGGATTTCCCGCGACGCTGCAGCGTTCAGTCCAGTTACTTCCTGGGAGGTGCACTCGGATGCCTCGCTCGGCTTACTTTATGGAGGAGATTTTGGCGAATTCTGGTTTCGCTCGACGGAAATTAATTTATAATTCTTGTTATTTTGCAGAAAACCAGCCGGATCAGAGCCAGTTCCTAAGTCTCGGATCACGCTCCCTGCTCCTAACCCCGACCACGTCGGTGGTTACAAACTGGCAGTTGCCACTTTTGCAGGGATTGAAAACAAGTTTGGACTTTACCTACCTCGGTTTAAGCCATCGCCACCTACCTCAAAGGCTGCTGCAGCAGTAGGACCCTGAGTTTATTGCCGTAGGTTTTTTGTTATTAGTCGGGAAAGAGCCACTTTTCTAATCAGTTAATACTTTGTTCCTTTAGCTTCTCGTCCTAGAACAGTTCAGCTTCAGTTGCGTTTCAAGGCAGTTTTCATCTTCAGTGTAATCATTTGTCTTTGTGCTTCCTTAACCAGATCACTGTGAAATTCTTACCCGTTGTTTTAAGTTTGGGACCATGAATGTATTTGTCCCCATCTGCCACGCGCTCGTGTTGGGAAGACGCTAATTTTCGGTTCCGTATCTCGCTGGGGGAGAGCTGCGAGCCGGCTCGTCCGAGGGCTGCGGGTGGCCGGGGCGGGGGTCGCGCGTCGTCGCTCGGAGGGACGAGCCCGGTGGAGGCGGCGGCGCGGGACGGTCCTGGCTGCGCGTG